ATATATATATATATATATATATAGTGTGTGTGTGTGTGTGTGTGTGTGTGTGTGTATACATATGCAGAAAAAGTTTTTATAGAAGAGAGAGATAAAATAAAATATATATATGTACGCGCGCGCACGAGTGTGCGTGCGTGTGTGTGTGTATGTGTAACAAGTATCTGTATTTATCTACGTGTTTACCGGAGGCTTGTCTGGATACACCAGTTGGGTATTCCCCGATGGTACCTGTATTACGTCATACTCGCACAGTATTATCCGTTTTACTGAAGAAATGTGTGTCATTATTAGATGTGTGTCATTATTATTCGGATATACTGACAGTGGTTTATCTAATGTTTTTTTTTTGACTAGTCATACTTTCATACTGTTTCACAATGGTAATATTCGAAAGTATGTCGTTGTGTAATACTCAAGATTTCTATTGTACTTAAATAATTGCAAGAAATATATTGTGTCCGTATTTAGAAGAGACGAGGTAACACACGCTTCTACAAAAACTGAATTAAAAAATTTTGGTAAGGACATGTAATATTATATGATAAATTGCAAACGAATTGTTTCCAATTTCGATTGATCTATAAGATGTAATTTGTGGCTTCAGAAAATTTGGAATTAAAATTTTTTCATGCACATTTAAATGAATAATAATTTATAGAAAAATATAATTGATGTTATCCGTAATGAAAGTTGCCTATAATGTAACATTATATTACGTTTTGAGAATTAATTCAAATGTAGACGCCTATAAATAAAGTGATAAATATCCGGAAACAATTTCATGTATATATGAAACAATTTTCAACGAGTGTTATCTATATATTTTTCTAGGAATAATAAATAAATGTTACGATAAATAAATTATATATGTATAATAGAGAAATTTATTGAACTGTTATAATTTTTATAACATTTATTGTATTCATATATCTATTATTGTAACATTTTAAAAATAACTTGTAAATTACATCACATTGTAATTATTTCTAGAGATTATAAAAAATATCTTACGCTAATTGAAACATATTTTGCAGCTTTAAGAAACGCATTTAGAAAAATCGGTGGGCAATTTTTGTCAAAATTTATCTATCGGAATATTGACAATTTAGAAATAATGGAAAAGTCGCAAGTCAATGAAAATTTTCAAATTGAGAAAGCAATGGAAATTGATGTTAAAGTCGAAAAAAACAGCGATTCTATTAATATAGAAAATAAAGATGATATCAACAATTTGCGAGTCCGTGAAAACACTGGAAATATACGAAAGAAACAATTAATGTGCGAGTATTGTCAAAAGAAATTCAATCACGCTGGGGACCTCAACAAGCACAGAAGAAAGCACACCGGTGAGCAGCCTTACGTATGTAATATGTGTGAACGAAAGTTTACGACGTCGTCTAATCTTGTTAGACATCAACATTTACATCTCGGGATAAAGCCGTTCCATTGTCAGATTTGTGGACACAGTTTTACCCGAAAAATCAAACTTTCCGCCCATCTGATAACAAAGCATCACGAAGCTCTAAAATCTGAATGAATATAATGCTGTATAAATTATAAATAAAATATTAAAAAAATAATAATAAGTAAGATAAATAATAATATATAAGACATAAGAGTTAATAGAAATAACATTATTGTAAAGAAGAAAAAAAGATGATAGAATATCTTTTAAAATACGAGTTTGTATGTCTCTTTCTTAGACATTGTATGTTTGATTTGCTTACACAAAATAGACCATTTTATAAATCTATATAAAAATGATTTTATTTATTTGATGAGAGTTTGAAAGACGATATATAACACACAATTATCTTTTTTGCTGTACATTCTCTAATAAACATAAATAAAATTATTAAGGAGATCCTAAAGTCATATATTTTACCGAATGCAATTACTTTTCATATAAATATTTTTCTAATTTGTCTTTACAAATTTAAAAATCCTTTTCCACAATTAAAGTATAAACGGTAATGTCCAACCAATCGACTTCATGTCAAAAATGAAAAAAGTTTGAAAATTACAGTTTTGTTATCAGTTTTTGACATAACATTTGTTTCATATATAC